GAAATGTTAAATTTCTCTTCAACAGAGATTCCCCTCCTGAGAATTGGATGCCATTGCCAAGCGAAGTTGCGCTGATAGCCTTGGGATCTTACAGAACTGCCTCAAGAGAATGCAAGATGACATGCTTTAGGGAACAATCTACTGAGAGAATTAGCATTTGACCACTTATCGTTCCAGAAACTACATGTCTTACCATCTCCCACCTACCATCTAACCAAACTGAAGAAAGTGGAGTGAATTTTGTGTAAGTCGGAAAAGAATTTTGAAGCTGAATTACTTGGGGGATGCACAAAGGGGTTGGCATTGTCTTTAGAATAGAGAGAGAATAGAACTTTACTAATAAGGGAATTCCTGTCGAGGGCTTTCCATAACCAATTGGAGAGGAGAGCAATATTGAAAGAAGAGATATTGACGACCCCCAACCCTCCTTCTTGTTTTGGCTTGCAAACTGTGGTCTAGTTAACAAGGCATTTGGATTTTGAATGAATGATGCTCCCATTCCATAGGAAATTCCTCCTGATTTTGTCGATATCCTTTATCACCCAAGCAGACAGTTTGAAACATGATATATAGTAGAGAGGGATAGAGGAGAGAACAGAATTAAGGAGGGTGAGTCTGCCGCCTATGGATAGGGACTTGTTCTTCCACATGGACAATTTATTTTTAAGAGAATCCAGCAAGGGTTGCCACTCCCTTTTGCTCAGAGATCCTCTCTTGAGAGGAAGACCTAGGTAAGAGAAAGGGAGAAAACCCACAGAACAGTTGAAAGAGTCAGCAAGAAGAGAGCTTTTGTGAGGAATTTTACCAAGATAATAAAGATTGGTTTTCAGAGGGTTGACATGAAGACCAGACAATTTTGCAAAGAGATACATAATTATTTTGAGAATGGTCATATCTGAGGGGGAGGCCCTGCTGAAAATGATGGTACCATCGGCGAATTGGAGGGCTCTGATAGAGTTTAACTCACCCTTCAGCTTGAGATCAGCTAGGTCCCTCGAGGCTGCACTGGTAGATAACATTTTATTTAAAATATCAACTACAAGCAGGAATAACATGGGAGACAGAGGATCGCCTTGTTTAAGCCCCCTAAAACATCTGAAGAAACTTGTGGGGGATCCATTGACTAGGATAGCTGATTTGGAGGAGTGGAGAAGGTGGTGGATCCATTCACACCAACGGGGGTCAAAACCTCTTGCTTTGAGGAGAGACAAAAGGAAGTTCCAGTTAACGCAATTGATAGCCTTAAAGAAATACACTTTAATAGCACAAATTTCTTTTTTACCAGAGGAGCAGAAGTTAATCATCTCGTGAGCTAGAAGGAAAGAGTCCAACGTGGATTTACCTGACTGAAAGGTAGATAGAGAATGATCTACTAGGAGAGGCAGGAAAGATTTAAGTCTATTAGCAAGAACTTTGGAGAAAATTTTGCAAGAGATGTTTATGAGGCTAATTAGACGAAAATATTTAGGGGGGTTAGCACCATCTTTCTTGGGAATTAGACAAATGTGGGAGAAGTTAATGTTGTGGAGAGGTCGGGGGTTTGAGTGGAGGCCTTGAATAAAAGAGATGACGTCTGATTTAATAGTGTTCCAGAAGGTTAGGTAGAAGAGGATGGGGAGACCGTCTGGCCCAGGAGTCTTATCTGGGTGGAGGTCGAAGACCGCTGCTTTGATTTTCTCTTGGGAGAAAGGAAGATTGAGAGGAGATAGATTAGTAGAACTGAGGGGGTATAATTCTTCCCAATCTAACTGCAGGTTAGAAGCCGGAGGCTACCGAAAGAGCTACGACAAGTAATCATGGAAGGATTGTTTGATATCACCTTCTTCAGAGATGAGGACATTATCTTCGATAAGATGAGGGATGAAATTTTTTCTACGCCGAAAAGATGCAACTTTTGGAAGAAGGCAGAATTATTGTCACCTTCTTTAAGCCATTGGATTCTAGATCTCTGTTTCCATTTAATTTCATCAGCCTTAGCAAGGAGAAGCATGAAATTTTGCAGATGGGCTCTCAGCTAAGATTCGGAAGGGGAGAGACTTCTGGACTCTTCGAGAGAATAGAGATCATGAAGTTGGTTCGTAGAAGAGGAGATTTGTTGTTTCAAGGAGCCAAATGAGTTCCTAGACCATCATTTGGTTCTCTTCCTGATAAGTTTGAGCTTGAGGGATATATTTCTAACATGGTCCTCTAAGGAGGAGAAGGAGTTCCAGCATGATGCAATGAATGGAGCGAAGGAAGGGAATGATAACCAGAATTTCTCAAATCTAAAGAGAGGAGGTTTGAGAGGAGAGGATGTGTCTAATAAGATGGGGTAGTGATCCGAACACGGAGATTGATATGTCGATTGAGTAAGGAGAGGGAATTTTGATTCAAAGTCAAGAGAAACTAAGAATCTGTCTAGTCTAGCAAGAGATGGAGGGGATCTGTGGTTTGACCAAGTAAATTTCCTTCCGCTAAGAGGAAGGTCTAGAAGGTGGATGGAGTCAATGAAATTGCGAAAGATGTCGATATCTCGAGGGGAGCTCGAGCGCCCACTTCTTTCAGATAGGCTTAAGGGGAATTGATGGGGAGAGTGGACATTGAAGAAGAGGATTTGCCCTTGGAGGTACCTGATATTTTACCTCTCCTCATCATCGAGAGGTGCTTCCTGTAAGGTAGATGGGACATTAGGCCGCTGTTGGCCTTCTTCTTGGCAGCTTTAGCTTGATTTCTGACATTTTCAAAACCGGGAGGGGGGGCTGAAGAGGATGTGTTGTCCATTGGGTCGGAGGAGCTGATCTGAATGGCCTGGTCAACATTTTTGGCCGCAACTTGAACTGGGGAAGATTCATCAATGCCCGGAAAGGCCACTTTGATAGATTCCCAAGAGGACTTAAAAATGAGAATCGGAATGCCTTGGAAGATGACGTCTATCATCTCTGGAGCCTCAGTCG